GTTGAAGCTTTGTAACATTCCCTGAGAGAACCATCTTTTAAGCCGCTGTTTATTGTTGAAGAATGAGAGTCTTTGTTTGCAAAGCAGACTATGCAACTAACTTTTCCTTGAAGTTCAGTTGAGCAAATTAAGGCAAATGAATCTATACATCACTGCAATCTGCTTTACCAAATACCTTAAAAATGTTCAGGAGTTTTCCAAAACCCTAAAGAATCAAGGTTTTCTTTTCATGCTAAAAATAGAGACATATCTCATTACCGTTCTGTAAACAGAGCCAAATCGAAAAAATAAGGGAAGGGGGCAGTTTAAATGATGTTAAGGTTTCCAAAGAAAACCACAAAACAAACTTAAAATTAAGGTGATAATGTATCCCTGTTGTACCTGGCACGTGAGCAAGCAGTCTGGAGTGACCATCTGGGACATGTACAGCAAAATAAGGGCAAGGGCACCAACTCCCAGAAAAGCCAAAAAGAAACACTCTTTTTCCCACCAACTGTGATGTATTGGAGAATGAGATTTATTTTTTTCTGTTAGTAAATCATTATTTCAATTTTTATAAGCAATTTGGGAACACCAGCAGTGTTGTTTATTATTATACCCCAAATACCTAAAATAATGCCAAGAAAATAGTAAATCCTTAACAAATATTTTGGATTGGATAAATATTGAAAATGTCAGTAATATTCTATGGAATTCTAAAAAGTTCATAATGCTTTGGGGTGCTTTTATCTGCCCTTTAAGATATTGAACAATAATTTATTTTCCAAGAATATTTCAGGTGTGTTGGGGAGAAGGGCAATTTATCAAGTACTGTTAAATCTACACACCCAAAAAGCACTTCTAAAATTCACTTCTACTGCTGCTACTACTACTACTAAGAATTTGAAATGGTAGATTAAAATAATTTATCAAAATATAATGAAAATGGCTTAGCCCTCACAAATAAAGGAAGAAAGAATAAACATAACTGAAGAAATACATTGAACTTCCTCAAAAATTAAGATATTTTGTGCTCCAAAACATATCATCAAGAAAGTTGAAAGACCACCTACAAAATAAAAGAAAATATTTACAAATCATTATCTGATAAGAGACATAAATCTAGTCTGTATAAAGAAATCTTATACCTCAATAATAATGAAAGAACCCATTTATAAGATAGGCAAAGCATCTAAATAGATAAGATTATTTCCCCAAAGAAGCTACATAAATGAACAATAAAACACAGGGAAAGATGTTTGACCATATTAGTCATTAGGTAAATGCAAATCAGTACCACAATAAGGTATCACAGTATGGTCTCTTTATTATAATTTTAAAAAGATCTATAATAACAACTGTCAGCAGGAATGTAGGGAAATCAGAACCCTCCACTGCTGTAAGTATATAAAATGATATAAGTACTTTGGACAAGCTAGTAATTCCTCAAAAGATTACCTCAACACTTTAAAATTCTACCCCTAGGTATAATATACTCAAAGGAAATGAAAGCTTATCCCTATACAATAAATTGTGCGTGCAAGTTTACCCCGGCTAAAAGGTGGAAAAAAGTCAAATGTCTATCAAATGATGCATAAACAAGTTGTGTATATTCTACAGTGGATGTAATTAGCATTACAAATATGGTGTGATTAAAAAATGCAGTGAATGTTTAAATTTAAAAATTTTATTACAGTAAAGGACGCATTGTCACCAATGCCCCTGAAAAACAAAACAAAGCAAAAACTACCCCTTGTTTTCCACACACTTACCCATTGTTCTTGTCACTTTGAAGCAGCTCTGGAAGCCCACGCTCATGATTGTCCTTAGTTGTGCTCTCATGGCTGTCTCCATGTCTTCAATCAACTAAAAGGGTTTACCCTTCACCGTCATTTTGACCCTGGGGATGGCCAGAAATGGCATGGTGCCAGATCTGGTGAACAAGCTGAATATAAACACATCCAAATGTTTTTCAAAAACCTGTTTTTATGTTTTATGTTACCGGGCAGCAGTATGCACAGTATTTTTCATCAGCGATTGTAAAGACACTCAGGAAGGACTTAATTGGTTCAAAATTGCAAGAACAATGGGCTAAGAGTATTTGAAGCAAGGAGGAGCTTTTGAGTATTCTGAAGTTTTGTTTTGTTTTGTTTTGTTGGAACAGAGTCTTGTTCTAGTTAAGATTATTCTTGAACTCACTGTGTAGCCTCAAAATTGAGGCATTCCCTCCTGCCTAAGCCTTTAGAGTGCTGGGATTACAGGTGTGCACCACTATGCCCAGCTAAGGTGAAGCTTTCTGAGGGGCATTAATGACAATGTCTTTTACTGTAATTAGATTTCTAAACATTCAGCATCAATGTTGATCACATCCACAAATGAACTATTGATATTTGCCACACCATGTATGAGCCCTGAAAGCATGCCAAGTGAAAGAAACCAGTCACAAAGGAAAATATCCTCTGTGAATCCATTTACATGGGATTCCCAGCATAAGCAGATCTATATGGCTGAAAGTCTATTAATGGTTGCTGCTTTGGACTTAAGACTAAGAAAGAAGTTAGGGCCAGGGATTTAGCTCAGTGGCTCAAGTGGTTGCTTGGTAAGTGTGAGGTTGTGAGTTTGATCCTTGGTACCAAAATAAATAAATATATAAAATAAAACTATACTTAAAAGCAGGGCACAGTGATGTGCTCCTGTAATCCCAGTACTCTGGGAGGCTGATTTAGGGAGACCTTGTCTCCAAAACAAAAGCAAAACAAAACTAAAAACAAATAAAGAAAAAAAAAGAAAGAAAGAAGTTGACAGAAAAGAGGTGACTATTAAGCGGCTAGGCTGGAAGCTTTTTTTTCAGGGTGACAGAAATATTCAAAATTGATTCTGGGAATGGTTACACAGCTCTGTGGATGTATTTAAAATACCTGAATTATTCATTTTAGATAGGTGAATTGTGTATGTGAACATGTGAATTATATAAAGCAGATATCTAGAAAAATGCCTTGGCCTTATTAATGTTATTCTAGTGATCAGAAAAATATGATTAAAAATGGCATAGAATGTCTGTGTTGATCTAGTCACATTTAACCTCTGCAGTAAATTGTTCAGTAATAAACTTCTTCATGTTATCATATCTGAGTCTCAGCATGAATAAAATCCTTCAGAAAGACAAGCCAAGTGTTTTTGCAGGATTGAAATGTATTTTGAATGAGTTTGGAATGATATCTAGATATTTTACTAGATTGCCCTACTTTCCAATGATATCATTTATACCATGAAATTAGAGCATTATGAAAAGGAAATTGTATGTTTTTATTCACTATAAAGTAGCAAATACATTGCAAGTGTACCTTCTTTTAAATACTAAAATTTGTCCTACATATCATAACTTAATAAAACATAATTGCATTTAAAGGATAGATTTTAAGTGATCCAATAATTTTAAAGTTATTCTGGTATTGTTGTATTCTTTGTAAAGATATAGATATGTATATCCAAAAATAAGACATATATTCCAACATATGAATTAGCTTCCTCATATTGAGTTAAATGTTTGTACACAACGATCATATAAATTTGAAACCAAAGCAATGGTGAAGATTCTCTTCCTAGTCACTCCTGTCACATATAAAAACCTGAGACCTAAAGTAGCTTATTTTCTCCACAAATAAGGATTACAAAATCTATGGTTTGAAGGCAACTTCCTTAATTTCCAAGGCAATGATATTTTCACCATCAGAAAATTCCACAAAAAGAAAATATCTGAAAATTCATCAGAATGTAGAGGGATACTAAGTTTAGCATCTCTTGGATGTTTATTTATTTGAAATTATATTATTTGTTCATCTTTATTATTGGTAGTTCATTTTGAAACTTTTCACTCCTAGGACACTATAATCATGTACATCTATTTAACTGTTCACTACACTCTCAACTTATCTGAACACTTATTTTTAAACAAAATGATCAATGAAGATTAAGATGCATGGTAACAACTTAAATTATTTAATTCCTAACAGAAAGCTTAGGAAAATGTTCATGTAGATGAGCCAATAAATTCCTCATGCAGAAACTCAATACATTTGTTACACTTCAAAATAAAGATTTCTTTACAAACTCTCCAAGTATACCATCAGTGTACCATTCACCAACTCTATCACGGCTTCTGAAAGAATCTCATGAAATAACTATTTTTAATGGGTTTGTACCAGGACTTCATGAGAATCTGAAGCTCAGTGACAGAGCTGTCTTACACCTTCGCTTCCCTCCCAACTCTTCCCAGAACTCGCTGATTAAAAAATTACCCCTTTTCTCCTGCTATCAAACTTCCAGCTATCTCCAAAGTTACTACTTATGTTATACAGCATTATTGATAGGATTGTCTAAAGAGTCATGATGAGCTATTTGAATTTGGAAAGTGAGGTTTCTTTTTCTTGAAAATTCATCAATATAGGGTGTAATTTTTCTTTATATAGGGTATACTGTGCCTCCTCTGGGAGCCATCAAGGTCTTCTGACCCCCTACATTCCAGAAATCAGGGGTCAGCAACTGGGTGCCCCACTTGTGAAAAGCTGCTGACCTCTGCGAGGGAGCTTGTATGGAAGCAAGTGTTAATTTTCAGAATGTGACTGCTTTTGATAGCAGCAACCTCATCCCATCATGATGTCCCTTGGAATGTTTTCCACTCAAGGGGCCAGAAGTAATCTGTCATCACCAGTCAGTGTGCAAGGGCTTCATTCTTGTATCTTTGCCTTTGTGTCCTGGATCTGAAACAAAACATACCACCCTCCCTCCTCCTCTCACATCCTAATTTTCATGTGTTCAACATCTGTCAGGGCTTTCACCTTCAATGACATGGTCAAGACACAAAAGAATTATATTTAACACATGACAAAATGAACAGCAGGCCCATTTCTCCCTGCTTTGTAATTGAGAGCTATCAAATTTGTGTTTGGGGTCTGCACATGTGTGCTTATTTTTGGAACAATACTTATAGACACTTAAATTGATTATTCTCCAAAATGATAAAAGGGTTTAATAACACACTTTAATATAATTTCTTAGGCATTTTTTAATAAAATACAGTTATATAATTATAATTATCAATGTATGTCATTTAATATAACAATAAAATGTTAGTCTTTGAAGTGACACGGTAATGAATATTTACAGTAAAATCTAAAAGAAACGGCATTTGTACAATATTGCTAAATTTTACCAAAAAAAGATTAATAGAATTCTATTCATATTGTGGTCATTTCAAATTATCAACAGCAAAAAGAAAATGCTCTGATTACTAACACATATGAATATAAAGCGTTGCTTTCCTTGACTTCTCAGAATGGAATAGTATTCTCTATTATATATACCAAGAACTAAGGCTAAAATAGATATTCTCAAAGTTTTTCCCAAATTGTTGTCAAAGCTATTAATATCCTACACAAAATCTTATACAGATCTATCTACTGAAAATATTTCATGTTCTTTCATGCTAATTTTAAAGGTCAATATTAACTTGATGAACAGCCTGTAGAATCCATGAGAAAAACTTTTCAGTATCTCCAAACAGAGTCACATTCTGTGCAAATTCTTTTCAAACTAGCTACGGTGGTCATTTAAAGTAAAGACGCAAATCATGAGCTAACCCTTTTCCCATCTAAACTAGGAATGAGAGGAAGCAACTGCGAAACAGTGAAAGGCAATCACGCATGTTTTGCTTGTCAAATATATTAAATGCAATCAGTTGACAGGAAGATGTATCATTTTAGTTTCTCAACAGAAGGGCAATGTACTTCATCATGTAGTCTTAGCTGTTCCGATTTATCTCAATGTGCTATCAAAGTTACTTCTTTTGAACTCATAAGCTATATATATATATGTATATATATATATATACATATATATATGTATATATATGTATTTATATATATACACACACATATATATGTATATATATACATATATATTGTTTTATAAATTTTAAAATAAGTAATGCTATTTTCATTTCTTTATTTTGGAGGTTAAAAATGCTGTTGAGGTTAAAAGTTTTATAGTTCTTTTATCATAATTAGTATCTTCCTCCTTAGTTCTCCAAGAAGGCCTTTATAATAATGGGCTTTGGCCTTTCACTACAACCCCCACAAGACAGATTGCTGGAGATAACCCTCTGAAATTCCTTGCAGCTCTTACACCATAAAGGCCTAAGACCCTCTGCTTTGGATAAGATTCAGGCAGGGGGATGAAGGTTGAGGGGGGAAAGTTTCAATTTGTAGGAGTTACCGGCCATAAATACAGTAAGTAGCACAAACGTCCTTTCTTTGCTCATAGACCATGATCAGGGGGCTTTACAATAAAAGAAAAAGTATCTAAGGAAAACCCAAACTACATGAAGCCTAAGGAACAAGCTGACGATATTATTTCTCTGTGCTAAAAAAAGAAGCATTTTTCATTGTAATCAAAGAATTTGACAGTGATTTTTTTATTACTCATATGTTCCTCCTTCTGTGGTAGAAAATGGAATTTAAGAATGTTTGTAGGATATTCTCTTATGGCCTATTTGATGAACTAAATAAAATGACCCACAAATCCAAAATACTGGAAATTTATTCCCTGCCTGACACAATGTGAAAAAAAAGCACAAGCTTTCCTTCCACCTTTCTTAGAATAATAATTTCAGTTAGTTATGAATTTTATAGATCTTAAATCACATAATATTTGCCCTAAATAAGAATAAGCAGGAATGTAAAAGTTAATCCACATTACAAATATCTCAGAACTAATACTAAGACTTCAACTGGCTTTTGCAATTTAGGTTCCCACACTGTGTCCAAGAATTACAGAAATCACAAGACTCTCTATGTTAGAGTTAGACTGATTATAAAAACTCAGTATGAACTGCTTAGATCATTTTCCTGATAAATTAAATTATAAGCCTTCATCTGGTTAGTATCATTTCCAAGTTTCAATTTTATTACTTTGCTTTCAAAAGAGTCTAAGAATTTGATTAAACATATTACATGCGTGCTAACACTCTGTGGAGCTGGATGAAGGGGAGAAGATAGAGGCCTCAGAATGCCACACGTTCTATATACAGTATACACATATACCATAGATAGTTTACAATCTTACCATGAGAAAGTAAAAAACATCAGTGAGCCTTCATTCTCTATTATATATACATTTTACAAGCTACAGATAATTTCCTTCACGCTGCTTTTAAAAAAGACTGAAAATACATTAGATAGATTCAAATACAGTTTAACTTAAAGGCTTCATCAGACCATATGTGCAGACACTTGAGATGAAGACAGAGTTAAGCTTCCTAGGGTCCTAGAGTCAAAGAAACTCTGCTGACCCCCACTGCTAAGCAGGTGCACTCCTTCCACAGGGGGTAACATCTGTCGATCAGTCATGGTCCCACTTGGTGAGGACCCCAAGAAACTTCCTTGGGAAGAAACAATTTTCTCAGGACTGGCAGCCAGCTTGGGGGATGTGGAAAAGTTATAACCATACAAGGCACAGGGACTGTGTAACCTGAAAGCGTTATAGGAACCCTGATGGGTCTGGTTAGTAGCGAAGGCATTACTGGAGGGTGACGGCATGATGTACTGAAGCTGGGGGGACATTCCCGAGATCTGCATGGACAAGCTGGTCTGCGGGCAGCTGAAGGTGTCCCCATCAGTGCTGCCCATGGACATGTTCACGGAGGTACTGCTGCTCACTCCCACATAGGAGGGAGTCCTGGGTGAGGCGAAGGTCTCACTGGTCTGGTTGGTGAGCCTGTTGTAGGTCTCCGCCAAGGATGTACTGTACCGGTTGAGGGTGAGGCTTGAGCGGGCACAGGCAGAGTAGTCAGCTGGGGCCAGACTACACAGCTGGCTGGTGTTGGGCCCCAGATGGAAGGCAGGAGAGGAACAAGAGGAGCCAGACAAAAGGTGAGTGTGGGTGGCAGGAATACCGTTCCCAGTACCTTGCAGTAAGCTGGAAGAACTTGCATTGCCTACAAAAGAAGCTGAAATGTAAAGGATGACTCCACACCCACCTTCTTCTAATTTTGTAAAAACACAGTAGATATGTCCTGCTACCAGGGATGGCAGAGTGTTACAAAGATGACAAGGAGATGGTCTCAGCTTACTAGGAATTTATGAACTCACTGCATTCAGATTGAAGTAATTTAAGCCCAGATCTTCACATTTTAAGATAAATTATCTTCCTAGGGAATTATGTATTTTTGTATTGCAGAAAATAATAGGATATAACCACATAGAATTTTCACATTTTCTGTCTTAATTTGCAATCTCAAAATTTATTTATTTATAGTAATATGAATGCCAAATATTCAATTTATCAGTAACTTCATAAAATATGAATTTCAACTTAGTTTGTATCTTGTTCACAAAGTATAATCAAGACCTTTACTACCCATATTTTAGCTTTTCTTTTATTAAAGCTTACTCTGGATCAAATGCCTTTTCAAAAAGAAAAAGAAACAACTCAAAAGCTGAACTGGTTAATGTCACAAGTGCCTCACACTTACCTGTGGCTTTTTACAGAAATCACGTGTATTAATTACTATGGTACTACAGGTCTCAGCCACGTAGTACAATTATAGTCTAGCTCCTCAAAATGCCATTTCCAACCAGAAAATAGCTTGGTGAAACACATGCAAACACCAAAGCAGACCTATGAAACTTAGAGACAGTGGTTAATCCTGAGTCTAATAGATAATAGTGATGATGACTGACTCGCTTTTTTCTGGATTTCCTGGCAGATTGATATTTGCAAACATAATAGAACTTAAGGTCAGAAGAGAATACTGAAGGCCAGACAGCTTGTAAAACTTTCTAGTCACAGTGTTTTATATACCATCTCAAAATAACCTAAAATCCCAGTAGGACAAATGATAATAATCTAAACACAAACTTTCAGTGAAAGTTGACAGGATCCTGGTAAAAAGCTTGACTGCAGGAGAAAACAGAGTCTTACTGAGTGGGACCATTCTTCTCTGAGAAAAACAAGCCCTAGAAATATACAGAGAAGAGCCAGAGAGGTCTTCCAGAGTGTGCCAGCCCTTGTCATAAACCCAACTGGAGAACATTGCCTAGAGGCAATTTTTTTTTTTTTTGAAGGAAGAGAAGAAAGAAATCAGCTAGGACCACAGTTTCTTATGAAGTATACCTGGCCTCATAGCCCACCACTAACCTCTGATTTTCATGAGATTTAAGGGTGACAGCAAGTTCATGAAATATATAAACAACCTAAAACAAAACACCTAAAATTTAACCTATGACTACAACAATCATTTTTCATGACCAATTCTCATTCCGTCAAGAAAAGAAATGGATTCTGCAGTAGGAGAATGCTGGTGATGAGGTTATCATTCTGGATATAAACAACGATTTCTGCATGTCTTAGTGCCTGAGTTTCTAAGCAGGAACCGACTGATCGGAAGAATTTACCTTGCTTGGGAATTCCAGGGATATCTTCAAAGGTAAGAGTCCGTAGTGAAGGTCGCCAGAATGCATATGACTCCACCAAAGCTTCCAAACCCATTCTAAATGGAAAGATCAGGGTAGTCTAGTTAGGAGCAGTTGGAGCTTTTACCAGTAATAAGCATCTCAGAAAACAACACTGGTGGGAATCCTTGACGGTGGCACCTTAAAAGCTTGCTATAGGTAGAAAGAAACAGTTCAGGGGGAGGGGGGAAGCACTAAGAAGTCACCAAAATGCTTGTTGACATTCTTGAAAGCTGAAGCCAACTTGAGTGTTGAAAAGCTGTCCCTCTGGCTAAGGAGCCAAGGTGAAGAAAGTCCTTCCTGACTGCTGAGTCCAGCACTCTGCAGTGGTCCGGAATGAACCCTTTTCCCTATCACAGGGCTTCTTACCACAAACCATGCTCCTGTAAAACCTCTCCTAAATGACATTTCTGCCCATCACTCATTGCAACAGCACCCATCTCACAGGAGAAATCATCCAAAGAAAACCGAACTCCACTCAAAGGGCACAGTATTCACCACTAATCAGGCCTGATGGTCTCTCTAGCAACAAGAGGGCCAGGAGGGGGCAGCACTGATCTCTCCCCTTCCATCCTGGCAGTGAACAGGAGCACCGCAAGGAGATCTCACATGGCTATCATGTATATGGAGTTAGTACTAACATCACAAAATATTTTAAAGCCTCAACATACATTCTTAATAAATGTATGCTTAAAGTGTGAGATAAGCTGATTATTTATATGACATGCATATTTTAAAACAAAACAGCTACTCTAAACACATGCATAAATCCCTTATGGCCGCAGATGATTGAGAGGCTTCCCTTCTTATGTATCAGATGACTAAATCCTCTAGGTTTTTGGATTAAGGATCTTCACTTAATCTGTCATTATCAAGACAGCCTAAGACTTTCCCCACGCATCCCTCAACTACCTCAGCCCTAAACAAATTTTTTAGGTAAGACTGTGCTTTTCACTAAATCTATTGCTCTAATGTATGAAATGGCTAATTCCTCGGAGTATCAAATAGTATCTCAGATATCTCTTGTGACTGTCAGATAGTCTAATAGCTTTAACTCAGTTTCTGCATCCTGCGGATTCCCTGTATCTCCAAATCATGAACTACAAACTAAAACTAAGGGAAAGCATCCCTCAAAAATCATTATCACCTATATCAGAAGTGGTTTGTGCAAATAAAACTGTCTCATATTACTGTCCTTCTGTGCCACGGTTTTACGCATAGAATTTGAACATTAGAATGTGCAGGGTAGAGCCTCCATTAATTTAGTGATTTCTGTCGCCATTTAGGAGGATGCCCATCCCATCTTAGTAACAGAACAGCTATGCAGTATGTGGCATGTTGGTATGTAGCATGTGTACACACACATCCTCTCCTGAATTCACACAGGGGCATGACCCATCTTTCCAACTGCCAGCTCAGGGGGCTTCTGTTCAAAGAGGCATTTCCAGTTCCACACAGATGCTACCTCGGGGCTGCCAAAGCGAAAGGAGGACACAGAAGAAAACCTGTTTAACCTGGATTACCTGAAGAGAAGAATAGAAACTGGCTTACAACATAATCAGTGTACTACAGAAAGGATTATTTAGTGACAAGGACACTAGATTGGACTGAGCTGTGACTGCAAGTCACTAAAATAATTGTGTGGCCTTAAGTCAATGTCTTAGCCCCTCTCAATTCCAGCTTCCTATACAGTGATGATTAGACTATGAGAACTCTGCAGTCTCTTCTAGCTCAAAACTTGTTCTGTTCTAAGTGATTTGTTTTCCAAATCAGACATCAAAATCTGTGACAAAACTATAACTCAAACCAAAAGTTATGTCACACAATTATATTTTCTGTATTACTAACGTAATGATTTCTGGTTTGGCAGGTCTAGGCAGTCTCAAAGCTCTGTACTGTCTGTGGGTTTCATAAAATACTGTCCTAATGAATGCTGAGTGTTGTTTAGCTGATCACTCTATGCTTAGTTTATATCCATGAAAAATTTGTACCTTTCTAGAAGATGTTTTTAAATGCAAAAGATAATTAAAACACAGATTTATTATTAAAAACTACTTTTTATCACCACATAGATAGATTTTGATAATGGTACATTTAAATAGTAAAGATGCCAAAATAGTTATGGAGCACTCTTGAAGTTTACTAAGTAACAAGCATCCACTGGTCTTAGAAATATACTAACTAAATTAATGTGCATTACTGCATTATTTGCTTTAGCAATATAAACTTTATTCCGCTTCACTTCCATAAACCAAATACTTGAGAAGTTATTAAGTATCACAAATATATAACCTGAAGCTTTAAAGAGATGCTCTAAGGTAACACATCTATAAGTGGCCTGATTTAGAACCACTAATATTTTTCCTGAGGCTGCTATTTCACACTGCAAGTTCAGAAAGGATTTCAGATATTTTGCAGGAAACAGTTATAAAATATTTATTAGCTGAATCTGGACTTTTGTTAAAAAGCCTTCATTTTCTCCAGTAATGGAGACTTTTTCTCATCTAGTTAAAGAAAAGATGAAAGGCACCTCCCGCAGGAGAGTAGCCAAGGCGATAATTTATACAAGGTGCCTTTGAACAACTTCCACATTTTATCACCGCCCTAATTTATGCTATCAAATGACCAAGTTTATTTAGTAAAATGGTTATGTTTTTCCTGAAGTATTTAAAGAGAAGAAATTTTTGTACCTTCCTGAGTAAAAAATTTTATAGGGTCAAACCTAAGGCCTGACTGAAGAATGTAACTATTTTCAGCACATAAATTTGCTCTCACATAACAAATGTCTTGCAGGAGAGCTTTTAAAGGCTGAAGCTACTGATTCCTATAAAATAGACTGTGGAGCCATAAATAGCTAGGAAAGGATAATTTTTAATTAAAGAAAATTGTTTTATAAAGTTTAGGCAATTACATGACCATGTTGATTTCTGGTCCTGTTCGATTTGTTTATTTCATATATGAGGAAAACCAAAAGTATTTTCTTTTTAAAAAACAGAATCAGGGTTATAAAGGAATATTTTGAACTTTTTCCTCATGGACTTTTATCTCTATTAATGTATGAAAAATTATTGTGCTCCTATATATTCCCCAAACCACTACATCCTCCAAGAAGAAAAATAATACATAAATTAGAAAGGTTATAACCAAATCTCTTTTCTTCATATTTATGCCTTTTACATTTGTCAGTCAAAATGTTAAGATCAATTTTTTTAAACAAGAGTACTGATTTATAGGTATTTAATGTGCAAAATGGGATATAGATACATAGGAAGTAGGTAGAATTTTTTTTCAAATGGATTGGGGGAAAATATATGGAAGAAGTGAAGGGAGGAGAGGGTTAGGGGATTAAAAAAAGACATAGAAGAATTAAGATTCTTCTATATATGTACAACTCCCCACAATACATGCAATCAGTAGGTACTGCAAGTGTGTACTAATTAAAGAAAAGACATTTACCATTTAAGGATTACCAGTGAAAAGTTTATCTATGACAAGCAAGACATAATTTCATGACAAAAAGTTAAAATTTTATTTTAGTAGCAAAACATCCATATATAAGCACATTATACTTCTTCTGTAGTAAATTATTAACTATTGGATCAAAAAAAATTTTAATCACAGTGTTAAAATATAATTCATTGTTTTCTGTGTACCTGTTACAAACATTTAATACTTTAGGAGAGTCAGGAAATAAATAATAACAAGCACAATTACATGTTACACCTACACATTCCTGAAACAAAGGGAAGAAAAAAATCATATCAAATCCAGCATTTTGACTTTGTACCAAAGAGACTTAGTAGTTTCCTTTCATTAATGTTACTCATTTTTTTCCTGATGACATGTAAATAACCAAATGTCCTTTCATTGTGCTTTCATATCAAGACTTCTTCCTGAAAATTTGTCATGTACATCTTCCATCTCACTTGTAGAAGATTCATTCACTGCTACTTTCTGTCTATACACTTTAAGAATGTTTCATTTATTGCTTCAGAAATGAAGCAATAAATAAACGAGTTAGAAGTAGTGAGACCTCCAGTGAGATCTTTGCTGGAGCAAACCTTGGATATTGGGGCTGGGGATTTAGCTCAGCGGCATAAGCACCTGCCTTGCAAGCAGGCAGTCATGAGTTTGATCCCTGGTACCGATAAAAAGGAAAAAGACAAAAATAAATAAATAAATAAATACCTTGGATATTGTTTCTGGTGTAAACTCAAAACCTGAGTTTATCTACTGGAGTATCCGAGTATTAACAAATTATTTTTCTGCCCAAAAAAGAAATAAACTGAAACCAATTCAAGATAATGATTAAATATTATTCTGAGATAATCCAAGGCATAAGAGATTCCATCAAAGCATTTGTCAAGGTAGAAAAAGAATCACCCCAAAGTTCTCACCAGTCACCTTCACTAAATGATGATCTACATTACAAAACTGTGGTTCAGTTTGCATTCAATTTTCAGGAAATGGAAAAATCTGAAAGCTAAAAATTTCAGAAATCTCAAAATCAAGTTATCCAGTAGCTAATATAACGTAACAAAAGCCAAGCAAATATATAAAATAATTTCAATGCAGAAGACAACTTGTGGGATGACCCACAAATCTTTCTACAGAGTGAAGAATTTCAGAGAGAAGTCTTTTCTGTTGTTCAGTCTTGTTGATCCATCTGCATTAAATTGATGGTTTACTCTATTTTTAATTTAATTACATTTTACTTCTTACACATTTAAACACTGCTTGGTGTTTAATGATGTCTCACATATAAAATGACATCAGGCTTCTCCAAGCAATTGAGTGTATTCTGAGAAAAGATTTCTGTCTTCAACCATGTCCAATTCATCAGCTAAGTACTAAAAATCTAGACTATTATCTGACTGTTTTGTCTCTAAAATTTCAAACGAAATCGCCTTTAAAATAATTGGAGATTTTGATTTCTTGCAGACAGAGTCAATTAATACTAAGTTTTCAAAGAGTGTTAGAATAATCTGGGAAGTAAAGTAATAAAATTTTTCAAACAGTTCTTTTTAAAAATAAGATGCTTTTAAAAACACTGAAGTCAAAGCCTTACCCACAAAAAGCATTTGGAGAGCATGAGTCTATTATTACATTCTATTACTAACAGTTATTTTAGAAAATGTTTCACTGAACTGCAGTGGAATAGAATCATATCAATCAATTTAAAAACTCTTGGCATACTAGATGATCTGCTTTTTGATAAAAAGTTATGGAGTGGAATTCATTATTGTTGTTCTCCCACTTTGTACAAACACCGTAAAACACAACACAGAAAAAATAAACAAGTGTGTGACTGTCATCAGAGCCAAGACAAATTTGGAAACTACAAAACATCAGCTCTTTTGGCAACAGGAAGGAGTTTCATATTCCAGTTGGAAATCTGAGTTAACAAGAGACCCCAATCAGCCTTTCCAGAAAGAATCAATAGACAGTTGTGTCATCACTAGGGAAATTCTAAACCAATAGCAGAGGCAGAGAACTTATTTCCTTGAAATACGGAGGCCCCTGGATGTGCTGGGCAAGCTTCTTCAAGGCCACTTCAGAAACAGCATGCAACATGCCCTCCGAGTGTCCATCTTCACCCCAGAAGTATATGTGAAAGTTCACCGGAAGGCCACAACTACACTCCAAAAATAACTTATCTCCAAGGAACAAAAGCATTAGCCAACTTAAATTCTCATCAGAAATTATTTCCATACAATGTTAGCAAATTTAACTATTTAGCTGGTAAAGGAAATTCACAATAGCAGATACATTTATCACAACCAGGGTTTTCATTAGGACTTACCTATTTCTTCCGGAGTCTCTGAAGCCTTTGGCAAATGGATTCCTGTCTATCTTAAGGCGAGTAATCTGCAGAATAGGAAAAAAAGAAAAGCACATCTTATATAAAGATAAAATAATATTTTAAAGAACAGAAATTACCACGAAGCTACAAATGATTCAAAAGTTAACTGATAGGAGACACTCTTAGATTTATCTCTCCATTCCCCACATATTTTAATATCCTGGATGCCAAAAGAAAATTTCAGAAACCATCCAGAATATTCATCTGCTATAAAAAGACACGTACCTACCTTTTAATTTTGCAGCTCTAGAAGAGAACCCAGCTCCCTCTCTCCCTCCCTCCTCTCTCTCTCTCTCTCTCTCTCTCTCTCTCTCTCTCTCTCTCTCTCTCAAGGATTGTATAGGCAAACTTCAAACTTCTGAATCTCTGGATCCCTGAGTGTTGAGATTAAGCTGTGTACCACTGTGCTCAAATCTCCATAATACACAAAAGTTTTGTTTGCTTTTAATACTCCTAGGGAAGGAAAATCTAAATCATCTGTCAATATTTGTTTAACAATCCTCTTGAAAATGAAGTTGCTTCCTTAACTTTGCTGATGTGCTTTAATCTTCTTTCTCTTGCAATAGAGGTGATGAGGAACAAGTAACATTCAATAACTTCCATTCATTAGGTATTTCTATGCTTAAATTTTAAGTCCTACCTCATCTTTTCTTCTTCAAAATTAGGTAATATTCATACTGCTTTGATTTTCTGCTTCTGTAGTCTTCTGTCTCTCCTTTAATTTTCATGACTCTCATTGGAAAGTTTTATTCTTTTATCTTTTTTCTGTGCTGGTCTAATTTTGTCATAGCACTATAGTGAGTATCTAACCAAAGATAACCACTTTTTGAAGGTTCTAATGGGATTAAATCATATATATATATATATATATATATATATATATATATATAAAATGACATTTTAATTTTAACTAGAGTTACAATTTGTTGACTCATCACCAGCATCTTGCCCACTAAGACCCCAAAATTTGGGTTGAGGATAGTATTTACAAATGTTTTAATCATCTCCATTTAAAAATCATTCTGAACTTGACACTAATAAATAACATCTCATCTGTTTCTTAGCAGATCTCTATTTTCCCCAGAGAAATTTATAGTCTGTTTTCTCAGAGCTTTATCATGCTTTGCTTTTTAAATTTCTTGGCTTAATCACATCACAAAATTAATATATTTCTAATTGCACCATCTTGACTAAGCATGAAATCTGTTGGCCAATACTAAGGCTAAGAAAGTCTTTGCAGTTCTCCTATACTGCCTGTGCATGTTCTCAACCATACTCCAGACAATGGTGCAACACTTAAGACACATGTGTTCCATATGATATCATCTTGGTATGTGGATAAACTACATAATAAAGGATATAATGAAAGGGTTTGATAATTACTTCACCATGTCTTCCATTTTATCATTGAAGAACAATTCTGTCTTTACAGATCATAACTCTGTACTCTGTTCCTTTCAGTAGTGTTTAAGTAACACTACATAATTCAAACAGTTAAAATATTTTTAACTTTAGATTTGTATAATGGTGCCTATCTAAATGGAAATATATCACAATTACTATTATGAGCATTTTTATTACCAGCATTGCCACATTTATTAAATGCAGACTATGTACACCGTACTGAGTTTTAAGCACACTACTCATTTAATTATTGTAGAAGCTTATGTGTACAGATTACTTCAATTTTATGTTTTTCCTTTAACCTAAAGCTTTAAAAGCAACTTTCCAGCTGGCAATTTAGCTCAGCTGCATAAGTGCCTGTCTGGCAAGTTGCAAGAACAAGAGTTTGATCCCCAGTACCAAATAAATAAATAAATAAAACTTTCCTAAGATAACCATGGTATAAATGGATTAGAAACCTAGGCGGCAGCACTCAAATTGTTAACAACTGGCTGAGTATGCTCATCACTGTTCCATAAGTTCTTTAAAATGATTGCTGGGAAATTAAAAAGTGGATGTCATTGCATTTTATCAACATCAATTTCTACTGTCTTAATTGATGCCTCAATCTTTGTTAAAGGGTGTTAGTCCCAACATATGCCAGAAGGTCACTGCATTACACTTAAAATATCACAAAGGGAAGAACAAAATACATATAGAACGCAGATAATTTGTGTGTGTGAATAACAGACAGACAATAAATTCAGATTGTTAAAATCATACTAAATTCGGGGCTGGGAATTTAGCTCAGCGACATAAGCACCTGCCTTGCAAGCAGGCAGTCACGAGTTCAATCCCTGGTACCGATAAAAAGAAAAAAGACAAAAAAAAATCATACTAACCTAAATTCCCTGCTATTTTCACTTCAGGCACTAATTTTTCCCTCAGACCAGTTTCATTTTCTTAATACATTTTAAGAATATCATTTTAATTATCTCTAGCTCTTCTAAGAGTTAGACCTGACATGACCCTCCCTATAAGCCTAACGAGAGTGGCAGCATGACTACGGGGCACAGGCCAGCTTCGCTATGGAACCGATGTCTCCACACAAACCAGAGCACTGGGCCTCTCTGTCCAAATGGAGAGCAGGTCCACGTCTCCAAAAAAGCTGTAACATGGCAGACAGCATAGCAAAGAAAGTAAGAAGCCTTATATTTTTAACTGAGATGTATATAAAGACAAAAAGAAATGGAGGCCTAAAAACAATTCAGCTCACCAATGAAACTTTAAAAAAAGGGTACCACATTAGCCTCAATTACACTGCTATTTCTTATGAAAACTGTCTACAATTACATTATTCTCTATAATTATTCGACTTGTATACACACAGACTTAAAGAAATACATGCTTTTTCATGTAGAAAAATTCACTTCTCAAATTATTTCCAATTTTATGAAATAATTACTTCACAATTGCTAGTCTGCCAATACACACCACTGTGTATTACAATCAAAGCACGGCCTGAAACAAAAAACCCTTTTTGTAACACAAAAGTGACTGTACAATAAAAATGATTCTGAAATAGTTTCATGAGCTAGGTTTACAATCAATCCTTATGATACGATTGCCTTTTTTATATTTTACATGTCTTTTGTCTGAAGAGGTCCTTATTAGGGAATCCTTGCTTGGAGAACTGTGGTTAAAGAATTGTTATTTTATATATTCACAAACGCTCATGCACACCTTGAATGGCATATGTGACAAACACTTTGTAATCATGATACAGCAATAAAAATAGTTAGCTTTCTATCTACCCCCAGAGAGTCCAAAAAAGAAAATAGCTGTGAACAGTACCTGTTGATTCTGATAGGCAGTGACAGTTGTGAAGACAGTTTCTGGAAAGGAAAATGCCCTCACGCCCTCTCCAGACGGGACAGGCTTGATGGGAGAAAGGTCGTCTCCGCAGTCTTTACGGATGACGTGCACTCGGGGCTGGTATTTGTGCATGGAATGAAGAATGATCTGTTTTGAGGAGAAAAAAATGCACATATTTAATCAGGAGCCTCTGCTCATTCTTGGTACTATGACTAAATATTGAATATGTAACATAAATAGCTGCTCCTGGGAATTAACATTTCTAAGGATGAGGAGTACCAATTTAATAAAATACAACAAAAGTAAAGAGAGAGGGCTAGGAAGTTATTTATAATATATGTAGAAAAGTATTTTTAAAATTTTTGCTTGAGTGAAACTGGATACAACCATGGGAAACCAACATCATATTTTTCTATTGGTTAACATATAAGGATAAATTCATATGAATCTTATTCATAATGACCCATATGAAACTAGAGCCCAAGCTAATAAAAGTAAAAAATGATATTAAAATGATTATTTAAATAGCATCAAACCTAGCTTTAAATGTAAGTATTTGCACTTGAAATTGTTTTTATATGGAAATTATTCCTCTATCACTGACTACGCATTTACTTAAGAGCAAAGAGAATTTTAGGAATGTCTAGGATTGGCTTTGTGTGTGGTTCACAAAGTCTCTTTTTTGTCAACAGGGTTTTGTTTTGGTGCTCACAATAAGGCTTATTAAAAACTCAGACTACAGAGAGTGGAAACGCAGGCCTTCATAGACTCTGCCAAGTACTCTGTAACATGGCTAACCACCTTCTATCCAATTATTTCACTGAGAATCTATTTTAAGGGTGTATTCCAAAGTCAGAAAAGGTTTTCATGTGCAAAGGTGTACATTGAAAAATGAAAGAACCATAAATCATGTACATGCCTAATAATAAATAGTGAGGTAAATGAAAATCTACTCCATGGAATCCAGTGCTATTTAGTCATAAGGTTTTTTGTTTTTGATTTTGTTTGGGAGTTTTCTTAGTTTTTTACAGCACCAGGAATTGAACTTAGGACCTCAGGTTTGCCAGGCAGTTGCTGTGCCACTGAACTAAACCCACAGCTCCTCCAGCACTCCTTAGTTGTTACTAATACTGTTTAAGAAAGTTTAAATCATAAAGTGATAAAAACATGAATTACCACAGCTACATTAAAAGAATAAAAGGGGCCCATACAAAGATATGAATAGTGGGATCTTCTCTGGATGATGAATTTCAGGTGAAATTTTTTTCTTTCTTCTTTGTACGTTTTATGCACTCAAGCATAAAACGTACAAAATCCAGTGGGATTTTCTACTTACTCTTGAATTCTATGGTCAGGTATTAATAGATGATTTTAGTAAAAACTCCTATCTTTCTTGAGCTGTAAGATCAGAATTCAGGAATTTGGCTGTTATGGATTAGAGGGAAATCATTGGGAAAACACAATGAGTGACCTGCCTCATGTCTTTCAAGGTGTGAGCAGTTTAATAAGCGAAATTCAGAGTATTTGGTCAGCCCAAACACATATAGTCTTGTACCTGGAGAGTGAGCTCATTGACACAAAATGATGCCTTTACCTTCTGGTAGTAACTAAGGTTATAGTTGGGTGTTTTTTTTTGGGTTTTTTTTTTTTTTTTTTTTGCTTTGTTTTGTTTTTTAGCCTAAAATTTTCTATCAGTGGAAGAAATGACTGGATAGAAGATTTAATAATTTTGCTGTGATCTTGCTGACCAGAAAACCTTTTGGGGAGAAGCATGAGTATGAGAAGAAGCAAGAGGGGACAAAAACTTTCAGCATCACCTCTGGACACATGCATGAATCTGAAACCTCAAGGGACTGTTTTTCCACGTGTACGAGAAGGGCAGAATTTCAATAATCCATTAGTGACCCATGAAATCAATTCAAATAAAGGGCTACAACCAGAAATTTTTAAAATAAATAAAATTATTAAAATAAAGTAGGAGATAGAGGATGGTGTTTATAATAAGGATAAGAAATACTGTTTTGCAAAACGTTTTACCTATGTGTAGGTGATTTCTTTCTATGTCAGGTCAAAACACATGAAACACATAAGGACATTTAATTCTGATGATTCTATCACTATGTCCTAAACAGATTTTCAGTGAATAGGATTCTTTATCTTACTTCCTCAACATATAATTCCTAACTGGATATGTCCACAAATCTTCATATAAAAAGATATAATGGAAATTTAAGTACATATTTTTAGAAGTCCCAGTATCTCAAAAGGTTAAAGGGATTTTTCCAGTTAGTATTTTTCTTAGAACTAAGATATCAGGGAAACAGGAGGCGTGTTCCCTTCCCTCCATTTAGGGTTGTGCTTCTTCTCTGATATGCAGTATTCTAAATCTGAAAACACTGACATTAGTCCTCTAATGTAAAAATGAAGCAGCTAAGGTTTATAGAAACAAAATGTCTGAATCTTCACTGCTATAGTTGGAAACAGGATGCTTTGACTTGTTTTCTGATCACTATGTGTATTCATTATAAATTTATGGTATACACACAGAGCTCGTCATTGGGCTAGGACCCAACAAAAGAAATACATTGATGCTTCTCAGCCTACAGAGGCAAATTCATCAATTAGTAAGCCCCAAATGATGTCTCAGTCACCAGCTAATAGTCTATGATATAAATTTTCCCTGTTCTTTTTACAATTATTATTATAATAGTAATTCTACATTATCATTCTTGGAAATGTGAACATAACACAGCAAATGACAAATTTTATAGTATCTGTTAATTTTAACATGTTTTTCCTCTTCTTTATTTCCTAATTAATCTCTCTCTTAAAGAAATTGATATACACTAGATATCCTGGGAGTAGAATTTGAGGGAAAACTCCTCCAAGCTAAGAAACAAAGTGATAGAGGTAAGAAAACAGAATTTATAAACTCCAAAAGAAAATTAAGGAACTCCTAGAGCATAAGAATAATCAAATCCCAGAGCGTAAGAATAACTAAAGAAAATCTACTTACATCAACAAGCAAAAATAAATGCTTTTGCTTTTGGAGGCTGTTGTTTTATTTTTTGTTTTTGTTTTTGTTTTTGGTACCTGGAATCAAACTAAGGACCTTGCGCTTGCCAGGCAGGCACTTACGCAACTGATCTGTATCCCTGTCCCAATAGATGCCTACTAATTTTAGAAGATAAGAAAGAACAGATTTAGAATGAAAGAACACAAATTTATTTGGGTTTTCTGTCTATTAGTCAATGCAGAAAAGGTTCTTATTTTATGAAGAACCTATTCTCTCATTGAAATTTCTTAATATAGTTACATACATTTTGATTTGATTTGTTTATATCATTTCACAGTCCAAAAATGACTTTAGTTAGGGTATTTTGGAGCAGCATACAGAAATGGTTGATGTCTGACTATGATTGCATGTAAAGGAGCAAATGTCAATAGTCATCTGAAGATTATTCAAGCCAAATAATATATTTTCAACATTGTCTATAGAAACTTAGTGCATGTCTGGAAGTTTTGAAGGCATGCCAAACAAGTGTTAGTTGTTGTCTATAAGACAGCACAATTTGATTTTTAAAGAATTGTCATACTTACTACAGTAAAGAGTGAAGCATATTTTGCTTTTATAATAGAACAAGCCCAATCAGGAAAACCACTGGCCTTATATAACGAAACACCACATTAATAACGTTCACTACCAAAACTCAATTATATCTGATGTGCATTTTGTGTGCTATTTCTATGTAGACAAATTTTTAATGACATTGCCCATTAACATATATCTATGTCCATAAACAGTACTTTTCCATGCAAAATCTAATACATGTGTTTTTACTTTAAAGACTAGATTTGATTCAAAAGAAGCATAATCTTTTTTATTTTGGAGCTGATAGGTTGAAAGTGACTGAGATTTGACAGGCGGGCAGCTGCATCTACTCTTACAGAACAGCTCAGTAGGGAAACTCCATGCTGACTGGAAATTTTCCAGATGACTTAAATTCCCATGCTGGAATAAGCAGAGCAAAAGATCAAGAAGAACAGATAATAAAATCTGGTTCTCGGCATTTTTGGTGGTTCTGGGTACCAACTCACTTTAAATGGTAGAGGTCAATGCTGTAATAACAAATCACAAGCTCTACAGGAAGACAGCCTTATTTTTATTTCATACGTGATGTTGTATATGAAGCATTCTTTATAAACATGTACTTTCAAGTTCATCAATTCAAAGTTCTCTGATTTTAATACAGCCCATGAGAAAGCCAAAACTTTTAGCATGAAAATGACTTGCCCATGTCTAACCTGTAAGCCAGTGCAAATTCCTCCCACAAGGGAAACCTTTGCAATCTCCCCTGTAACATCTTGCTTTCCCACTCACATAGTTCTCAAGAAAAAACACAGCGAGAAGGAGAGTGCTGTATCCTACAATTCTCAGCAGCTGTGAGTACAGCCCTCCTACAGGCCTCTGAATACTCCCTTCCGAAGCATCCCAGCACTGGAAGGTGTAAGGTGCAGCATCACCTGTCTTCTAATTTTTCAGGGAAATGATAATCTGCATTTTTTCCCCATTGGAAAACTCCAGATGCATAGCAAACATTCATGCGATGAAAACTTTCCTATCATCTGCACCTGGGTAGTAGCCCAAGAACCAATCTTGGTCTGCATAAAAGCCAGCAGAAAGCTAGCTAAAGCTTCTCCAAGGATCCTTCTTATAAAGTCTTCATAACATTCAAAGAGTAGTTGGAGAGGGACATTCCTACTCTGATTTCTCATCAATATTTCTCTCTAAATACTATTGGTATTTGGAAAGTAGAAAAGTCACTTTGAGATAAACCTGCATGGTGCATTATCACCTGTCTCATGTGGTCCTAGTTTGAGTCACAGTCTGCAAGGAATTGATTCCTTCACTTGCTTTGTGTTGAATTACTAAAAGTTGCAGGCCTACAAGGAGTTCTCAAGTCATAGAGTTACATGCTTGAACATCTTGAGTAAAGTAAAACTAGGAACTGAGAGGCCAAAAATATAGGAAAATAACTTAACTCATTGGAGTCTACAAATTTACTTAAGATTATGATAAGTTCCTTTTAAATAAGAGCAGGGTTGGAGAAGGGAAGAGGGATAAGTCCCTGAGAGGTCTCTATGCCAGGAAAGGGATGATTAAATTAGAAATTCCCACCATAATGGTATTAATGTCCTCTTAGCCCCTGAAGCAAGATAAACAGAATCACAAATTCTTAATCTCTAATCTAGGCTTACATGAAGTTATCAAACTGAGTAAATTCAGTAAGGTTGCATCTCTACCTGTAGATGAGTCATCAGGATGATAATCTTTGCACATTTTTTTTTCTCTCCATCTAGGCTACAAACTCACTGAAGGCAGACCCTATGTCTTTGTATCTTTCACCACATTTTACAAAGTTTCAAAGTATATATTCTTTGAATAAATAATAAAAAAGAGCACTTTAGTGCTGGTTTTGGCAGCACACGTACTAAAAAAGGCACTTTCCATCATATGCCTCCTCTTGTATCAGCTGATATGTGCATACATTTTAAGGATTTGCAAAGGCAATTTCCTTGCTTTCCAACTGCTTTCAAACGACCTCTTTCCTTACCCCCCACACACATTAATTTTAAACTTGTACAACCTGCCACAATTTTAAAGGAAAAACTTCACCAGTAGATGACACATTTTTCTAGATCTCCTTTGCCATGTTTTAGTTTCCTAATAGTGAAATACTCTAAGGAAGTGAACTTCAATTTGTTATTTATTATTTTATTTGTAGACAAACACTGTATGATAGCTAATTGTATGAGTCAATTTGGCTAGACCGAAGTACCCAGATATTTGGTCAAACATCAGTGTTAGGTCAAACACATATGTTACTGTGAAAGTATTTTTTAGGGGAGATACTATTTAAATCATTAGAGTAAAGCTGATTACACTCCATGATTTGGCCTTGTCTCATGCAATCAACTGAAGGCTTTATGAGAAAACAGCCAGAGGTCTCAGGGGAAGTGAGAATTCTGATCACAGACTGTCCTCAGATTCAAGTTGTAACAACAGCTTAAGTCTCTAGCTTGCCTGTGTGCCTTTTAAACTTAGGGCTTGCCTGTTTTCCCCACGATCACATAAACCAACTGTTTAACTCAATCTCTGTCTCTCTATGAACACACACACACACACACACACACACACACACACACACACACATCTATATATTTAAAATATTTCCGTGATTCTGGTTGCAAATCAAGGGCAAGAAATAAATCAAATTTCCCCATAAGGTCAAAATCGAGCCTAACCATTCAATTTGATTTGGTTCTTGTCCAGTTTGGTTTGTGCCAGAATATTGGAACGAAGTTTGTAAATTAAGCTACCAATATATAATGTATATATAATAAAAATCATATACTATGTGGGTAATATATATTACATATTTTATGTGTGCTATATATGTGTGTATATGAATGAGAATACTTTCAATGTATATATACATATACATAGATGTATATATCCTATTTTCTAAAGAATGTTTTAAATAAAGTCTAGCAAAGTTATAAAGGCAAAATCATACAGATAAACTGCTAAATCTATATCTAATATTAGATATGTCAGATATTAGAAACTATTAGATACAAAGATTTCATTCTTTTGAACTGAAAGAATGGTAAAGTGATTATATTGATTTAAATTGTCAAAATTTTTGTACTTTATGAATGATAGCATACAAATTTGGAGTCCAGTTATCTCTTTAAAAGAGATACTCTAGAACTGTAGAACTCAGAAAATTGTAGTACACTTTAAGTTTTTTTAGATCTTAAAAACAAGTAAGAAAAATAGTATTTAGACTACGTATTTTTCCCTGTTTAAAAGAAAAAACTCAAAATGGCTTCCAGCATTCACAGTCAGTTCCCTTAACGAGACAGAAGAAACTAATGTTCTCTCTCTAAAATCAAGGACAAGCAACTCTTATGAACTGACTATGTTAACTTGTAAAAATAAACATAAAAGGAAAAGACATGAAATAATATACAGGGCATGAAACTAGATTCATAAAGTCTATTTTTCTGATCGTGTTTTAAACTATCAGAGACAACAATAAACAAAAACACTACAAATGTCAGGATTTACTAAATGTGCCTTAAAAATCCAGATACTATATCTGTACCTCTATGAAATCAGTACTCATAAACCTTTATGAAGGTAAAGTGCTTATGTAATTGTAGCAACTTGCATCCCATTATCACTATCTCATCAGTTTATGACAGTTTGTGTTTTTGTTTTAAAAGACTTGCTTATAAATATACTTTCTCTATATTACCACTTTGAGAAATGAACAGGTTGGTTTTCCTTTTACCTAAGATATATTCTTCCAAAGGCACTTCAGTTCTGCTTCAATCAAAACCCTCTCAAATAACAGAAACCTAACAGATATGCTAGTTTTAAACAGAAATCAGCATGTATCCAGAGTTACTAACTTACTAATATACTAAGGTAGAAACTAAGGTAGAATCTGCCCTAAGAAAAATACAGCACAAAAATTAATAAGATATTAAAAATGACTATATTATAGAGATGGCTGAATTGACTTACATAACATGTTTCAGCAGTTTTAAGAATAAGAGTAATTATTGTAACATATTTTGACACATCAGATTTCCTTTTAAAGCAACTGGGAGCTTGCAGATGGAACACACAGACAGTATAAGCCTGGACTGACTCTGAAAAATGAGACCCAGCTGAGAAAAGAGTTTGATGCAAGGATGACACAATAAATCATTATCCCTGCTTAGCCAAATTCTAAGTAGTACTCATATTCAAAGTATAATAATTAGCACTTCATGGGATTTCACACAAATGTTTTGGCTAAAGAAAAGTCTCTACCTTGAGTTCTTTCATTCCAACACAAACATAATATATAGTTTTAATACATTAAATTTCTCACAGGATACTTCAGCCATAAGCATACTCTCTGACACAAATATAATCTTTATTTTGCACAGATTATGCACATGCTGATCAACCAGGGAAGGGATACCTTAAAAGTGTCCATTCCCTACAGTACGATATAGCACATACATGGTGGTGACATCCAATATTGGCCGTATACTCACATGGCCTTGGTCATCCAGTTCATTGTTGGTGAGCTTCAGCTTGTCAAAGCTGATCACTTGTCTCATCCAAGTCTCCCCAGAGGCAGGCGAGTCTGGATGAATATACACCCGGGGTGGCACAGGGGAGTCAGCATTACCCGCCACCATCCATTTAGAGCTGTGGTAAACATACCTAAAAGGCAAAGACAAGGAAGGCCCTCAGGAGATGAACTATTTGTTTCTCGGTATTTCTAACTTGGCAGAATCAAGAACACATGTGTACTCTTCTTTTTACAGTCTAAAATAAATTGATTTCTTCCTTGTACCCAAAATAAATCTTTAAGTAATTTTCAAAAACTTTCTGAAGTAGTAGAGTAACAACTGGTAAGTGGTACATGAAGGGCTTAGTGAAAAATATATGCACAACCACAAATGCAAATTCTAACGAATAATTTACTAACATTAGACATGCTGTCATCTGATGTTTTTCACTTGAAAATTCAATGGACATGAGGATGCCAAACTCACCTTTAGGTAAGTATCAAAATACTTGAAAATTATATCTTAAAATATCTCACTTCCTTAAAGATCATTTTGCATTTTAGACATATCCAGCTGAGACAGACAGTAGAAATGCAAGAAAAAATTGACATATTTTGATAGAAAAAATATTTCTATTATCATTTAACATTTAGATGTTTTTCTAATCTATGACATTATAAGATGAAGATAATATGCACAGTTTAATGTAAAATTTTTCAATAATTATAAAATGTAAACCTTTATTCATCTTCTATATTTCTTATACCAAATATTATACCAAATAGTTTTCAAATACCACTAATAAAGAAACAAATCACACTTTGAAAATAATGACCTCATTAACATTACTGTTCTAATTAGAGACAAAATATCCTTGTTTATAGATATGTGAAAATATGTTGATTCAGCAAGAACGATACATTAAGTGACAATATCTCAAGTGATAAATTCTCAAAACGTAATCCTATAATCAGACTATCATTTACTGTTACTTTAAAATAAACTAAAAGTTAGAAACCAGAGTGCCAATGAAGAAGATAAAATAAAATTATATAGTCTTTAGTTACTTTTATTCCATGTATATTAAAATACGTCATACAATTCATAGTAAGCTGGCAAACAGTGTCAGAAAATTCTACCTGTATAATATGTAAATTTCTTTTGAAAGGAGATAGGCAGGTAGGACGAAAGGGGAAAGTAAAAAGGTTGCAGATGTGATAAGTGTGTGCACCAGTTCACACTGAATGTGCTTATATAACATAAACATATACTAATAATTTTTTTAAAATAAAAGCATAAAATATTTTCATAACACCTTTGATTGGCTCTTTGTTTCACTGAGGGTCACATATCTTATTCTCTTTTGAGCTTGATATGCCTCTCTTTTTCTCTCTGTCTCTCTGTCTCTCTCTCTCTCTTTCTCTGACTCTTTTTGATATGCTTAATTCTTTACAGTAGATCCTTTCCTTGGGGGAAAAATACATAAGCACAAAATGAAGAGTTATTCTTTAAAACCTTGCTTCAAATGGTATGGTGCAATTCTAATAAATTCCTAAGTGTGGGCTCTTGTGATTGTGAATTTTACATTCTAGTGGTAATCATTTTTACCTCGACCAAATACCACTCTGATATAGAAAATAAGCCAGTTTTTTTCTGATACTGCTGAAAAAGTTGGAAAATAGAGGAAATTCTCACAAACGCAAGAAAAAAACTTCCTTGTAGCTATGAATTGAGTTGTTACCAAATAGTTATGTGCTGTCAAACCTTACACATACTAAATAGTTCACCTCCACAGGCACTAAGCAAATAAATGCTGGGTTACACATTCTTTGTAAAACATTCTAATACCAACACTTAAAACAAATTTCTTTTTACTAAGCAATGTACATGAAGGCAAGTTTATGTTTAACTGTTTGATGTTTTAACATGCACCATTTTAATATTAGTATGAGAAGCTTCCTTGCTTTCTGTAAGAGTAAATAAAAATCTGTTAAGTAAAATAAAACAAAAAAATTTGGAAGAGTTTTGCAGGAGGAAATAGGGTACAAACAGAAGAAAAATGATAATTTCTAAACTTACTATTTTCTTTAGTGCAAGCTCAAATTAGCATATCAGTTTTAAATCAAGTGCGTTTCAAGAATGAACTTCTATGTCTTCTAGCTTGTTATGCAGTAGCCAATTTTAGCAAGATGTCCTCATAACTTAAGTAATAAAATTTATACGTAAAGCACAAAACTTACTTTTAATTATTCTTTTTTTAGTATTTCATGTTGTTGTTCACATTAAAATCTGTATACTTTTGACACTGTCAACCTGTTTTGCAAAAACTCTCTGAATTTTAAGGTGTTAAAACCCAAATTCTATTTCATTTAAAAACTGCTAGACACTCTTTTAAAAATGAGACAAATTTAAAACTGCATCCTACCTTCTGATCTCCCAAGACCTTCAAAACGTTTTAAAAAAATGTTAGTACTTATTTTTTTAAAAACGTTAGTTTTTTTTTCCCTTGGGAAAAATAAGAAACATTGTCACTGAAAAATTTTAATTTGCCTTCTTGGCTTAAAATTGAAGACTATGTATCTTTTCATAGATTACTTGAAAACTAGGGAAATACATTCTCTTTTAAAATCCAAATACAATAAGACTTAAAACAATAATTGCTAACTACAAACTAAAACCAAAAGTTAACAATTATTTACCAGTTTGGAGATGTCTTATATCACAATGAATGGTGAGATTTTACTTATCTTACTTGTGGGAAATCTTAGATAATTTTCTCAATGGGAAAAAGTCTAAAAGCGACTATGATTTTGAATGTAACAAGATAAGGTAAATTAATATGAAGATCAAAAAAGTCATAAAGAAAGCATAACATTTCATTTGCCGTAATATGCATTTATAAACTGCATAACAAGTCCTCTGAAAATTCAAATTGAAATGTGAGTCTGAATGAAAGATATACTTAACAATACCAAATTGACTCTATTAAGAACCCAATGAATGAAGACATTTCTGTTTCTATGAAAAGCTAAGTCAAAATTCTGGTTCCACATTTTACTGCAAGAGAAAATACCATCTGGGTGCTGGAACCCATGGGCATCAGATTATGGATCTGGAAATTCTACAGAGTTCTGGAAACAAAGATCACAGTAGTCACAGATCAAATGGGCACTCTTGACAAAATCCTAACGCTTTCTGAAGTCCTACATTCAATCCCTGTACCTGTATCTTTTGTTGTCCACTGGTACAATATCCATGGCAATGTAGTATTGTTGGTGAGGATCTAATCCAGAGATCTTCACTCTCATTGCAGGAAACATGCGTCTATTTATGAAGGAGAGAAGACAGAGCATTTGGGTTTTGTTTTTGATTCTGATAAGAACTGAAAATGAATAAATGTCTCTAATCTATACTTTTAATATGATCAAATTTACTTTTAATATGATCAAATTTATACATATGTATATAAATATACATATATATGGTTCCATTTTTGTTGAATTGTCAGTGTAGCCAAAAATGAAAGAATTGTCTACTGAGAGAGTAGTGGGACTAAAGAAAGCACTTTACTTTCTAAATAAAATCACTACATATATTTACATTTAATAATACAAATAATAAAACTGAATAAATTATAGAAACAGAAATTTCAAATTTCTAAAAATGTGATCAAATATACGAAATTTTAAGAGGATTATAAAAAACACAAGGAGCCAATGTGCCATGTTATAATCAAACAATATGTTCTTTATTGAAACAGGACTTCCTGTCTGCAACCAGTAAGGATGAAGTACAAAAGTTGCTCTAAATTTGAAAGGAAGGTAGAATAAAACTTCTTTATTGAACACAGAAACTAAATACAATGTATATTATCAAAGTATTCCTTTCTCCATCATATTTTGAAAATGTGTTCTTCCTAAACCACACTTACTCAAACATTTGCTAATGAAAATCTCCATTTCACTTCGCTTCTGAGATACACAGCAAAGGATATGCTAAAGTAGATGCATCTATCCTTTAAAAGGGGCACAGCAGCAAGTGACCTAACAGTGAATATGTATAAAGTAACAATTGCAGACGTTTGTTGTTTAAAACAAATTCACCTTTGGCTTAGACTAGGACTGTGCTTGTTATTCTAATTTTTGTTAACTTTACAGCACAAACTTACTTATTGTTATTTACCCTTTTTTCTATAACAATAATGCTATTAAAGACCACTTTGAGAGGACAGAAAAGTCCATTATTCCTAACTAAGCATGAGAACAGATTTAATATGGTGCTGGCTGTTTAGTATTATTTCAGTGCACCTGTGAGATAAAGTGTAAAGGTCTTTACATCTTTTATAAGACGATTGTTGTTTTGTGTTGTTGAAAACCAAATTTGAATCATTAATAAAAGTTCTGTGAAAATGCAGAGGGTAGCATATGGATTCAATAAAACACGTTTTTGTAATTCCTAATAAGTTTGGATATTCTTATGCTATCCAGGTTTTTGCTATGTGTACTCCCTGAAAGAGTCGTGTCCTTTTTAAATTTTTCTTAAGGATATTATTCATAAATTTTATTGCACTAAACGAACTGAAAATTTTAAAGTGCAAATGCCTCTGCGGCTAACTCAAATTATTATGAGCTGCCAACAAATCCATTTATTTTACTAACCGGTTGTGGAAAGATCATACTTTTAAAAAGGTAACTTCTTATATTTATATTTAGTTTTCTTTTGCAAATTTAAACTAATGCCCTGGATTTTCACTTGGAAATATATTGAACCATGCAACCGGACCTAAAAACAGGATTTTCAGAAATCAAAATAATTACTATTACAGCTACATATAATTCAACATATATTACGAACGACTATAGTGAGTTTTCATCCTAGTTTAACTTCAAAATAATATAACACATCATGTTCTTATAGTGCCAGGAAATCTTTGGATAAAAGAGCCAACCTGGAAGTTTAAATTCTAAAAAAGTAAATTATACTATGCAGTAAACTGTTTTTTAAAAAGAAAAAAGAAAAGGCGGAGTTATATTCTCTGGTTCCAGAATTGATAACTAGAACCTAAATAAATGCCTGCATGGCCATAAATATGACCTCGAATCCATAAGTACTCCTCACTCCGACCATCAACCTTGATAGCTACAGCACAGGCGACCACAGGGTCTCCTCCCAGATCAACAAGGAGCCGCATCACCTACTGCACCGTGGCCCACGAGGCAAAGCCAGCCTAAAAGTGAGGCACGACCTGCGACGTGTGCAGCCTGTCCGAAAGTGCCCCCAGGCTGCAAACCCTTCTCCCAACCATCTTAGGGGAGGCCAGAGCCGGCCCGAGGGGGGTCCACTCCAGCTTGCCCCTTACCTGCCGGCCTTGGTGATGATCATCTCAGTGCCGATCTCGTGAAAGCGCTTCCAGAGCTCCGCTCCTTGCAGATCTACCCGGGGCGCCTGCGGAGAGGGCAGCGGGGTCCCGGGCCGGGCCAAGGCGGGCGAGGGGGACCCCTTTGGGGAGCCGCCCGGGGACTCCAGCGGGGAAGCGCCCTGCAGGAAGCCATCCTCACAGCTGCCTGGACAGCAAAAGGCAGAGAGGGGACCCACTGAGAGCCTCTGGGGAGAGGCGGGGGCCGGCCGGGAGCAGAACGCTCGCTGTCTCCGGGCCCTGGTGATGAACGGGCGCTTGGGAAGGCCTGCCGGGTCCCCAAGTCCCGGGCCCAGGAGTGGCCCGCAGGCCGCGTCCCCCACCCGCCGGGTCTCGCGAGGGCCAGGCCCGGACAGCTTCGCGCAGCCACGGGACGCGGACTCCGCGACCAGTGCCCAGGGCAGAGTCCCCAGTGCAGACCGCGCTGCCACCCGTGCCCGCAGCCCGGGCAGCCGCCGCGGCAGGACCCCCCGGGACCCCGGAGCGCCCGGCCCGGGGCACCTCCTGGACGCCTCTGTGGAGCCCCCGGCGGCCCAGCCTCCCTCCTGGGCGCAGCACCGAGGCGCGCGCTAAAAGCCAGCCTGGAGCCGCGTCGCCCGGGCCGGGAAGTCCGCGGGGAAGGGACGGGACCGGCCCGCTCACCCGGGGAACCACGTTTGCAAGTACGCCGCCCTCTTCCTGGTTCGCACCAACGGTTTAGGGCATCCGTTCCGGTTTCGGGGGGTGGGGTGGCGGTTGAGCCTTCTCTCTGCACCCCCACCCCACCGCCCTGGGCTTTTAAAAGTTGGGAAAGGAAAAGGAGCACCCATTGGCTGCAGCCCCAAGGGAGGCAGCCGCGGAAAGCACCGATCCGCGCCATCCGTCTCCACCAGCGGCCGAGGGGCGCCAAGCGGGTGGCAGCAGCGCGCCCCGACCGTGTGGGCAGCGACCCGGGCGCGGGGACCCCGAGGGCCGCGGCACCAGCGGCTGCCTCGTCTCGGCCGCTCCCAGGCCACGCGCGCGCGCGCCCGGTCTCTGCGAAGTTGAGGTTCGCGGCGGGCGTGGGGTCCGCGGACCGACCCGGGAGGGGGTCACGCCGGGAAGAAGCCGGGCGGGAGGGAGCGACTCACCCGCGGCGGCTCCGCGGGAGCCACAGCTGCGCTCCGGGTCCGCGCAGCTCCGCGCCGGCGGCGGGTGCGCAGCGCCTTCGTCCCCTTCCGAGGAGCCCTTTTCCGCCGCCGCGCCGCCCCGGCTGCAGCCTCCGTCGTCCGCGGCCCCGGCCGCTTCCTCGGCGCCCAGCTTTCTCCTCTTCTTCTGAAGCTGTTGCTGTTTCTCCGCGCCGATCAGCGCCTCCACGGAGAAGGCGTGCGCCTTGAGGCTGAGCATGCTGCACGGCGAGCCCCTCCGCTTCTCGGCCATCCCGCCACCCGGCGCCCGCCCGCCCCTCTCTCATATACTCTCGGGCGGGCACACGCGCGCACTCGCTTTCCTGGAAGCCCGACCCCAAAACTGAGCAGTTCTCGGTGTCTCCGAGATCTGTCCCCTGGCCTGCAGCGGGCAAAAATCGAATTTGGCGTTTCGTCCTTCTCGCTTGGGTTGGGATCCGAGGAACCGGCGACGACGCGACCGCCAAGTTTCCTTCCCTCGGTCTCTCTCAACCTCTCCTTCTCCTCTCTCTCTCTCTCTCTCTCTCTCTCTCTCTCTCACTCACTGATACACTCCTTTGCTCCCACCCCCTCCACCTCCTCCTGCTGCTCCAAGATCTGCCTCGACTGATGCGCCAGAGAGGACTAACATGGGTAAAAAAACACTCTGCGGACACAAATTAAGGATTGTAATTGAAATTTGTTGCCTTGATCTGTCAGCACTTCGAGGCAGGAGAGCGGTGGGAAGAACTTGCTCATTAGCGTCAATAAAGCAGCGGGGGGCGGAGCCCAGGGATGTGTCAATCACCGACACGGATGGCCAATCAGTAGGCGACAATTCTGCGCAGCCCTCGCCCACTTCCTTACAAGGTCTCAAAAGACTCGGAGTGAAAAGCGCCGCCATCTGGCTTGTGTGTGCCAGCCCGCGCTCGCAGAACTGGGGGTCTTGCTCCTAAACCCAGTCCAGTCCCTGCATCTCCAACTATTCTCCCCAGAATCTGAAGAGGCGGAGGCTCCTGGCTCTAACAGAGAAACTCACAAAGTTAACACATCAAGAATCTTTAAAGGAACCTTAAATCCCGGTTCCACATCCTAATCATTTCATGTTGCTACAACTCAGAACGTCTGGGAAGGTTGAGAGCAGTAAAGTCACCATGTCTACGTCGGTCATTTCTCATTTAAAGATTCGAACGTTTATTAGCGCCCATTCTGCCTGGAGCACGGCACTACGCTTAAACTTTACTCACTTAATTTTTCTTAGGGAAGAGTTGTGTTTAAAAATATTTAAATCCTTTATATTTATGGACAAAATGTTACATTATCGCCCAGTCCCTCCTGACTTGCCAGAAAAAGCACACCCTTTGTTCAGATTCCCTTTTCTTTCGGAGTGGTAGATACTTTGACAAGTGGGTCACAGGATTTTAATTCTGCATATCGTCGGAGATATATATTTAACTCTATATATTTAATTCTAAAACCCCTTAAAACTTTTCAAAGCAGTTTTAAGACATAATTGCCCTTTAAATTTTTTCTCTGCGACTTAAAATAACCTTATATTCGTGTAATTTAGCAATTCACCACTTTTCTCAGTTATTTAGAGTCATTCTGTTTCTGTATATTCTACAGCGACTCAAACTGAGTTACAGTTTGAACTCAGATTTTTGCTAGAATCAACAAAAAAGTGTATGGTTTACGTAGAATAAATAAAATAGAAAAGTAGTAAATAAAATAAAATTCATGCTAAATGTTAGTCTTCGGTGTAACATACATGACAAATGATTGATTTGCTTTGTTTTTTTCCATTGTTCAGTTTTTGCAACTTCTTACCGCCTGTTTCTTCTGACTTAAACATATGCTTTCTGTAAAGTGCTTCTGGACGTAGCTAATCTTTTTCTGTAGCTTGGGGTACGGCGCAGTTCAAGTCTGGACAGCACCAAGTCAGTGGGAACCTAGCAGGCGATGCCTAGAGGCACGTGCTGGTCGCCTTGCAGGTCCAGCCGCCTCGGGATCTTAAAGAACCTGGAATAACGCTGTTGTGGAGGAGGCCTCTTTTAAATGCTGGAGAACCGGCAGTCCAAGTGGAAGGAGTTGCTTTACGTTTACAAAGGAAAGACTTTGCCTGTTCTGGACCATTTGGGAGACACAAGTTCAAGCAGTGTCTCTGGCAGATATTATATCTTTTTTTTAAAAAAGTGCAATCTGTTTCTGAAGTTTGGCCCTGTTGGGAGTGAACGCAGCCTACATAAATTGGGGAGTGGGTTGGAGGTTGGTAAGATAGTCTGTGAAAGGCGAGGCGAGGCTGGAAGCTGTGCCGGGAAGCTCCCTGCAGCAAAGAGCAGTTTGTGCTCGAAAGCCCGCTTTAGCTGCCTGCGTGGAAAGAGCACCCGACCCCAGACTCCTGCTCTGGGCGACCGTAGGAGAAGAGACCACTTTCTCCTCCAAGTCCCCTTGCAGACTTGCAGCCTTGGAGGCACCGCGGCCTGTGGGTGCAATCTCTTGGAGCCTTTTCCCCTAAGTAGGGCCGGGAGCCGGGCAAGGGGAGCGACTGGTTCCGAAAAAAAGCCAGAGACAAACGCGATTTCCAGAGGAAGCCTACTCCGTCCTTTTTGGTGCTCAGGAGAATTTTGAGCAGACTCGCAGGGAGCGCACTGGATCGTTCTGCCCAGTCCGTCTGCCTTTCATGCTCTGCAGTTTCCTCCGCATGTTCCCAGCCAGCCAGCGGGACTCGTGGACACCTGGAGACTTGAGCCCCCACGAGAAAAACCCTGAAAACAGGGTTTTATCCACAGCCACGATATCAGAGTCGTTAGAAAGAAGTGTGTGGAAAGAGAGCTGGGGCCGGACCCGACTTTAACTCTCTGAATACTGCTCTAAGCTGGGTTTAGGGCACCTTAACGGTAGGCTGGGCGGCCACTCGCCTCCTTGAACTCGCGTGGAATCTGGTTGATGCTCCCAGACGGGGCAGGACCTGTCTCCGTGGCCTCCACCCTGCAACACAGTGGATCGAAGACTGCAGTTCACTCTGACCTTGAGCAAGAAACCTCTCCTAGGCACAGGAGGGAAGCAAACCCTAAATTGGCCCCGCGGAATCTGGGTCTGGGAATTGACCTGCCAGAGCGCTGGAAGGCCCCCTTTTCTGTTGCTGCGCGCAGAAGTTAGGACACTGCAGTTTAGAGAGCAAAGACAGCAGGACAGGGCGGGCATTCGCTAAGGGAAATCTTGAGGCTTCTTACGCTGTTTGCACACGTCCGTATATACAAATATGCGCGCTGGCGAGTGAGGCAGTGTGAACGTGTGGCTGTGTGCGTGTGCACCTGCACATATTACACGTAGGAATATATCAGGGAATGTGAGCCTCCAGTCACTGTAGGAAAAAAAAATGTCATACCGGTTGGAGCGACAGTAAGAAAAATGATTAAAACTCAAATTAGCTGTCGGGACTCTCGCAAGACTAACAGGGCTCTATTTAAAGAAAGTCACTCAGAGAAGTGAGTCAGTGGGGGCAGAGATTGGGGCCGATGGAGGAACAGAAGATCCTCCGTTCAGATCTGGTATTAAGGTATCCCTAGTATCCACCTCCCCGGAGAGAGCAATATGGGAGGTGGACTTTTAACAAGCATATCTGATCTCTTTTTTGTTTTTCTTCTTGCAGTTTAAAATTGAACAGTTCTGACTCTTTTAAAAAGAAAAAAGAAAAAAAAAAACTCCTATTAGATCGGCTCCCACTATGCTGTATAGTCTGGAGTGCATTTGCACAGCACTGAACTTTGTGGTGTGTGTGTGTGTGTAGCTAACTCATGTAATCTAACATAAATACTTTGTTATTTATTTTGTCTTTTTGAGGCAAGATCTCAGGCTTGAACTCACTTTGTAGCCCAGGTTGGCCTCGAACTCCCAGAGATCCTCCTGCCTCAGCCTCTTGGGTGCTGGGATTACAGGCATAAACCACCACACCTGGCTCGGTATTTATTTTAAAGTGTTTGTTTTTATTTTTAAAGTTAAAAAGCTCTATGCTCCAGGACTTCATTCTCTAAATAAATGATTTTCTTTTATCTTTTAAACACAACCACTCTAAGAGTTTTTAGCCATTATGTTTGATTTCCTGGATTGGAGACCTGACCCACAGAGGTGATCATTGACATATAAGGGAATTTGTTTTGGCTCCAGAATTTGGGAAACATCTTGTGGTTTCTAAATATGCAAAAGGGACCCATACTCTCTTCTCGAACATGAAAAGATTAATTGAACTAGGAATACAGGACCAGGCATGAGAGTGCGAGTGAGCAACAAAGGGCTGAAACCAAGAGGGACACTTGTGTGGCTATTACTGTGTAATTTAGTGTGAGGAGACCTATTAATTAGAGACTGGGGACATCAGAAACCTCGCTGTCAATGGCAGCACAGCAAACCAGAGCTGAGACTGTCTCTCCGCCTTTCCTGCCTCTAGGTTTCTTCTTTCCATGCACTCCTGTTGCCTGTCTCTTCAACCAGAGTCAATGAAAATAATAAATTATAACCTATATAAATTTACAAGGGCCAGGAAGCAGATTCAGGCGGCCAGGGCTGCATGGCTGTGCTCTCCCAGACCTTCCTCCCCACCGGGTCTTGAACTGCAGCTCAAACCCAGGCCTGGAGGAGAAGCTTCAGGGCAGTGGTTCCTCTGGATCTTTGGTCACTGCTTTGCACAGAGCCATCAACTCCCCAACATTATGTGCTTTTCTAGCTTTTACTTCAACAAATGCCTCTTCTCTATCCTGGTTAGCTGAGACTGTGGGAGGCCCACTAATCAAAGAAGCCTCTGCAAGGCTCCGCAAGCGCTGGGTTTCCCTTTGGTGTCCGCAGTTTCTCCTCTGATATTTCGATCACAACTATTTTGTCATTGAGACTCAGGAGAGGATCCAAGTTTCAGGAAAGCGAAATTAGCCTGTACTTTGAGCACAAGCTGAGTTCACTCCTCCCTCCAACTCCCAAGTTTACTCCGGGAAGGGAAAGGAAGAGGAAAAAGGGGAAATGGGGCTTCTAATGCTCATAGCTAGAGGCAGGAGGAGGGGATGGATGAACCTGAGACAAATCCCTGCTGGGTGAATGAGCTGCGCTTCAGTATTTGCTCTATGATTGTCTCTACTGCGTTTTTGTCACTTTGTAAAATAGCAGTCCTCTTTTTCGAGTTTACCCACACTCTTCCCAGAAACTTTCAGGTGAGGGGCCAATAGAAAATGCTTAATGTGACACTTGTCTCTACCATTAATACCTGATTCAAATATAAGACTGTTTGAAAGTGGCGATGACATAAACACCCAGATATAAATGAGCACCTGAAAATGAATACTTGGACATTTTAAATACCAACATTGGAACAAATCGATTTGAACATAAAGTGAGACAATTCATGGACAAATTAAGTCATTCTCAAATTAATGGGCATTTTAATGGTCTGGTGTATAAAATTGTGCTTAAATTGATATTTAAAATATGCAGCTTCTTGGTCTTTGAATTAAATATTTAGAGCTATTATTCTTTATAAATAAAGATTACCTTAAATCAGCCAGTTTAACAAGATGACTCAAAATGGACCAAAATGCGGGCCCTATTTAAGTTTGTTTACCTCACTTATGCTTTATTTTGTTTACTGTAAAATGAGAGAGATGAGAGAATTTCCCTGTGTTGTTCAGGCTGACCTAGAACACTTGAACTTCTGGGCTCAGCCTATCTCCTGCCT